GCATTGATAACACTGAATGGATATGTGGTACATGTCACTCAAACTTAAAAGTTGGTAAACTTCCAAGTTGTGCAAAGGCAAACAAAATGACTTTCCCTGAAAAGCCCGAAGTCTTAAAAAATTTAACACCTCTTGAAGACTAATTTCACCGAGAATAGCTTTTATGCAGGTACGGGAATTGCCTAGAGGAGGTCAATTAAGTATTCATGGGAATGTAGTTAATGTTCCTGCTGATGTTAACACAACTGTTAGTGTTTTACCAAGACCAATTAACAAGTCACAAACTATTCCAATAAAATTGAAACGACGGCTTGGTTATAAACACCATTATCAATTTCAGAACGTTAGACCTACGAAAGTTTTAGATGCAGCTCAATACTTGGTTCGCACTAGTGACATATTCAAGAACGAAGGAATACAAAATCAGTGAAAGATTCCGGCAATTCTAAAACCGAGAATATTTTGATAGTTGGAAGTCAAATGTTGCACCAATTTTGTCTTTCATCTTATTTTAACATATCGGTGAAACAAAAGTTCCTACCCTTTTCTAACTGTCGAGTAACTTTCTCAAACTTGAAAAAGGTCACCCTTTTGCTCGTAAAAGGGTAGACTTTTTCGATATTTCAGAGTAAATACGATTCTTGGATTTGACCAACTTTTTGTGTCTGGTAAAGTTGTGACTAAAAAATGATGTGACAAATAAGCAAACCCTTTTTGTACAAGTTAGTTTTTGTACGGACACACGAAAAAGGGTATCCTTTTTTAGAAATAGCGATTTTTTTGTAAAGAACGAAAAAGGGTACCAGTTTTGAGCAACAGAGTTTGGCGCAGCAACGCGAAAAATAGCAACCTTTTTGCAAAATTCGGTAATTTCATAAAAGACGAAAATGGGTATCTATTTCTGTCAAAACAACTTGTCGCAAACAGACGAAAAAGGGTACCCTTTTTCATCATTGTGCATTGTAAGGAACCACATGAAGTTTTGTTTTGGGCCTTTTGGCGCCATTTTTCATGCCTTGTAATCAGTACTGACAAGTATGGCGACTGTTCAAGTCAAATTCGGAGAGAGACTATTAAGGTTACGGCCACAATCGATGACTACGAACAATTTGGCGATGATATTTAAGCTGGACATAAATCGAGGAATATATTTAAACTGCGAGGAGGAAGGAGAAATCATTCTCCCATCTATTGGCATTGAGAATAATGGCCTTTTTGAGATAGAAAATTTTGAGAAAATTTACGTTGTGAATGGAGACTGCAGTGCAACAATGACATTGCCTCTACAAAATCACTCCCAAAGCGACCCGATAGGAGTGCCGCTCTCCTACCAGCCAGCAACCCAAAGCTCGGTCCTTAACCCTCTGCCATGTGGTCTGGTTGGCGTTGCGAATGTAGCACAGCAAAGTCTCGGTCTTCAACGTCCCCGATTCACGACACCAAATGCTACCAAACCTAAGAAGATCGGATGGAAGAAAGCTTTCACACTTATTGATGTAGACCGCATGGGTGACACCACCGAAAAATACCAGATTCACCTTCAACTAAGTGAGGATACTGCAAGCGTGAATGGCATCCAAGATTTACTAAGGGGGCAGCTTGGTCATAACATTTCTTTATTTGATTCTAAATATCTGCCAGTTATGCCTGGTGAATCCACAAAAGGTACTATTATTAAAACTAAATAAATATAAATTTATGCGGATGTGCGGTCATATATGCATGGCTCAAAAATATTGCTTGAAAAATTTCGGTATGGACAATCTGGACATGGTTCAAATAAACTGTCTAATATTCCATTTGCTACAATGTAGTGGCTATAGAATATCGTCAGACAAAACCTCATTTGTGGGTTTTCTATGAAGCATAATTGAATTGCCAAAATGTAGTTTGTCCGATTTTTTGTGTTTAATTTCGTTACTAGCTATATGTATAATATGTTGCAAAAATATTAAATAATTGAAATGCAACTGTAATGCCAAAACAAAATCATTTATTATATTTATATAACATTATGTCTGCACACATAAGCAAAACGACAAGAAAAATTAATATTGACATTATTTATATATTATTATTGAACATTATTCATTAATATAGTAATTTGATTGATAGCTATTTACATGTAAACGAGTAGTTCATATTACCATTTGCATTCAAGCGTTACCCCACGCCGCGAAAACAAGTTGTTTACGAGTTTTGTAGCGAGCGTTTTGATCAGAAAACTTTACGTTTTACGTGCAAAACAATTATGACAGGGGGCGTAACTTTGCTTTGCATTTTTGCACTTCCGGATTGAGACATTACAGCCAGTGCAAAGTTATTTACATTATTTTAAATACTCTGGAGGAAACACAGTGAAGGTTAGTTTTTATAGTGAATACTATTTAGCCTACTGTTGATTTGAAGCTCGATTTTGGCAAAATCAATGGACAATGGCAGATTTTCAAGAAAATCATTATTTTCAAAATAGGCCGTTCAATTTTACTAAGCTTTCTGTTTTCGTTCCAACTGTGTCTTTAAAGGACATTGGCAACGAAAATTTTTATTGCTTATATCTACTAAACATACCTACGAAATACTTAATTTTTTGTTTCCATGTATCTATCGCCTGTAGTTCTTCAGAAAATTCATGTAAATGTTAAACAGCCATCCGCCATTTTGAAAACAACCTCGTATGCTAATTTATGCATGTGACGTCATTAGATGGGTTCGGGAAATCTGATTATATAGATTACTATTGTACTTAGACGTTGTAGCTTGAATATTTCGTTAAAATGAATGATACAGAGGACATGGAATTAAACAATTATGCAATAGCAAAGTATAACTCTTCAGCAGACACGACGTAAAAAATATTTGCAATATAAACGTCAAAATGCTCTCAAATCTCACGCGTGCAAGTGTGGGCCTCACACACGGCCCACACACGGTGCATCTGGCCATTAGCAATACAGACAAGTTGCAATAATACTAAGATATCATAAAACAATATAATGCATGAATATTTGAATATTACAAAGTATTTCTACAAGAATCATTGAACACAACTGAACCAGCGACAAATAGAATATAGTCTATACAATTTATTAAACCGCAATAGTCTATATGTACCGAGATCGGTGCAATTGAACATAGAGTATTGTTTTTACCTGTGTGGCCCGTAAATGATGTCGGCAGAGTATAACAACAATATGACATTAGCGCATTAGATGTATACTCAGTCGTAAATGATGTCGGCAAAGTGACAACGATATGACATTAGCGCATTAGATGTAATATTATGGCAACACTTCTGAATTAAGTAGCGATTCCTCCGGATAAATGTTGTTTTTTTCGGCGATCGAGCCCCACCAAACGCGTCGGTGCTGACAAATGCTGATGTAGCACAGTGATTAGTGAGCACAATAATTGCATAATAAAGCGATAAGGAATTTGTTACCTTCATTATTCTAAACCGACGCCAAGTGAAAACATGTCGTACTGCCCGGTATACGGTTGCAATAGCGATGCAAAAAAGAATCCTCATAGAGTACATTTCTTCTCATTTCCAAACGGAAAATCGGTAGCCCAACAAACAAGAAAAAAGACGTGGATTGAATTCTGCAAACGAAAAGCATTCAAGCCATTATCAAATAGCAGAATTTGCTCACTTCATTTTGCTGAGGACGCATACCAGCCTGGACATTCGCCACAGTTTCTAGAGCTTTTAGAGTGTAAAGAAACTTTTCGAGTACAGTTAAAAACTGATGCATTGCCAACCTTGAACAAACCATTAATAGATACAAGTGGAATTAAAGCAAGAACTGTTACAAAAAGAAGACTACGAGAAAAAGTAATTCGAATTTTAAATCATTAATGTATTTTTGTCCAATAACTTTGCAAACTAATAGTCATTGTCACATTCTAAATGATAAACAGTAAAAATATTTACCTACAATTACAGGGAATATCTGATCTTCTAAATCCAGAAGAATTGGCAAAGGAAGAAGAAAGTTCAATTGAAGAGGACGAAGAACCCGGCACATAAGAGGCATTTGACACGGAAATGTTTCAACCGAGAAAGAACACTCGAGATAAATATACACAAACGTCCAAGAAACAAGGAAGAAGAACAGTCAAAACACAGACGATTATGAAAGCAACTTCCACGTTCTTTCAACCGAAATCAACGGTGCCTGTGCCTACGCAGCCGCTTGAAGACGAGGTCACAGACACAGGTATAGCAATACTCAACACCCAGAAAAAACCTCACAATATCGAGCAAGAAACACTAGAACAAGAAGCAACAATAGAAGTTGAGGTGGAATGCAGTTCAAGCGAGGAATCGGTCGCAGCAGATACCTGCATTAAGTTCACTCCAGGCGAGGCATCATCGACCGAAAGCGAAGCCGAAGAAAGCAGCGATGACCTGCATCCAGATAAGCGTGTATTTCTAGCAGCGGGAAAATCTCCACAAGAGCAGATTAAATTTATTATTTTTGAAGAAGCAATACTCGAACTGTTTGGGAAGTGTGGCCAGTGCGGATCGGAATGTATTGTGACGATTGAAAATCAAATCGGCTCATCATGTAAAATTTGCGTGTCGTGTACGATGGAAAGTGTACATTACTTTGAATGGACAACTGGCCCGTCGATGTTCAAAATGCCAGCATTTCACCTGCTGCTCGCATCTGCCATTATCGCGACAGGCACGGAATCATCGAAGGTTCTTCGACTATTTAATGCGTTGAATATTCCTAATGTGAAACGAAGAGAGCTGTCGGATATTCAGAAGAATTATGCGATTCCTGCAGTCTACAAAGTTTGGCAAGAGGAACAATCTGCGAGGCTGCGAGAAATAGAGGGAGAAACTATTGTGATTGCGTCAGATATGCGTGTCGATAGTCCTGGACACACTGGTCTATTTGGATCGGGAAGCACGCTGGATATGAAAAGAAATCTGATATTGGACACGCAAGTAATCAAGGTAATACAGAGTTATAGTAAAACTTTATCATGTTTATTCGCGTCATACTGTTTCGTGCATACTGTAATAGGGATAATTATTTAGAATGTAAGCTGTAGGGCATGCTAAAAGATCCAAGCGTGAAGGCTTATTTCAAACGTTGCGCTTCCCATATGTGCCGAACGCATTAAATTAAAAACAATAGACAATCAGCTGAAATGCCTCATTATCTATTGTTTCTAATGGGTTCGGCACATGAGAAGCGCGACGTTCGAAACAGGCCTAAGAGAGGCAAATTGGAAACACGAGGGTGTAACTCGTATTATTTTATTTCCATACACAAAAAATTTATTGCTTAATTTTTAACAGTCAACAGAGGTAAAAAATTCAAATGCCATGGAACTGCAATCGCTGAAGAGGCAATTGAAATTCTTGGACGACAACAAGGTTGAGGTGACCAAGTTGGTGACAGATCGTCATACTCAAGTTTCTGCATACATGGCAAACGAAAAACCAGAAATTGAGCATTCCTATGACGTCTGGCATGTAGCAAAAGGTATACCAATATTATGGTATGTCTAGATATTATTTAACCCATTCAGTCGCATTGCACCCTGATGTGGCCCACTTTATTATTTTACTCCGTCTAACGCCAGATTATTTTACTATATTATTTTTCAATATAATGATCAATTACATAACAATTCATTCTTCTTGTCATTTTGAAGGTGAGAAGAAAAAATTGACAAAGGTTGCCAAGAAGAAAAAATTCAAGTCGATTAAGCCATGGATTGGGGTAAGTGACACACAATTATTTTCAAAAACATTGAACAGGTGAACTTAAAACAGTAAGTTCAATAACAAATGGTATTATGTATTGTTGAATAAATGTATTGTTACAAATCAAATAATTTTTGACAGTCAATCATCAATCATATCTACTGGATTGGTGCCACTGGTGAATCAGAAGATGAAAAGGAAGAAAAATGGCTCAGTCTTCTAAATCATATTGTGAACATTCACCAACATTCAAACCACAAGATCTTCAAAGAATGCGTTCATGACACACTTGAACGAGAATGGCTAAAGCCAGGTTGAGTAAAATGTTATTAACTATTAAAATATTGTAGACTATTATTTCATGATTGAGTTGGCTTTCTTTGTTCGACAAGATATTTATACCATACAGCCCTTGAATACTAAATGATTAACAAATTATAAAGACAAAAAATAGAAAAATATTTGTCGAAAAATGAACAAACCTTTGTTGGGAAAGCAGTCACTCCTCGATCATGAAGTCAGGTGCAGCCCTCAAACGTTGGGAAGTATGTGATATACAGCTCTTGAACACTTTGTGTTCTTGGACCTGTATATAGCATACATCCTCATTCTCAGGCTTTATCTATCACTCAAACCTAAAGATTTACAGTGTAAAACATATGCATAACATTTCATGCATGATGCATCTGGTATCATGACATTGACAACTCATTCATTAACTTGACTATTATAGGTTCCGCTGCATTTAAGAAGTTGGAAGAAATGCTAACAAAACCTCGGCTCATTGTAGCAATCCGGAAATTGTCCCAGTACCACCAGACTTCTGGGCTGGAGGCCAAACATGCTCTGGACAACAACTTTGCCTCGAAAAACACCTATCATTCATACCATTCATTAAGTGCAAGGTAGGTTTTCATTGTCTGATAGTGTTAGTTGAGTCCGCTGCACAAACCACCGGCTGACACTGTATGTCACTTTTTCATTATTATTACAGGTTGTACTGTTCAAACTTGCATTTTAATGAAAACAGTAACAGAAAACAAGCAAAAACAGCTGAAGGAAATCTTAGATGGACAATTGCTTACCCAAAGGCATTTAAAGGGGAAAAGGCTATTGCAAAACCCTTAAAGGAACAGCCCACCTATGGTAAGAATTTCATTTCCCCTCCACGTTCACTACTAATGTCAATTTTTGACAAGTGCTCTTTAACCCACTAAGCAGCAATCCTCCCTACTTTATTTTACTCTTTCTTATGGCAGATGATTTCAATTGTGAAGGAACGAGTCTTGCACTTTAATGGGTTAACCAAACAATCTACCCAAGTGTCATGTTAACCCATCAGGCTGCAATGCATCCTAATTTATTCTTTTACTCCTCTGTCTTATGCAAAAATATTTTACTCATAGGGGGGAGATTATTGCAGCTTAATGGGTTGGAAGACATGTTTATGTACAATTCACTCTATCAACTAAACATGGATTGGACATAAACAGTATTTCAAACCCTCCTAATCATATATTATAATAACACAATCTAATATAACTTTCAAAAATCTAATTTTATAGGATATATACAGTTGATATTGAACCAAGCTATCCATTTAAGAAACAAGTATCCCACTTTGAAGAAGGCCAAGGTTCATGCAAATGAGGTTCTACCTGTTGAACCGGAATCTCTTGTGTCCCAGTACTTGGCAGGAAAAGAGCGGCCATTAAAGGAAGATGTGGTGGCCAACAGAAAGTCCCGATTCAGCACACCAGCCCTACCTACAAGTGAACAACAAAGATCAGTGACTGAGCCATGTTCTTGCAAAGGAAAATGTGCTACTAGAAAGTGCAACTGTAGGGCAATGGAAGTGCTATGCAACAGCAGATGCAGCTGTAAGGAGGAAAACTGTAAAAATTGTGAATGAAACATGCACACTTTCTGCTGATTATTTTGAATAATGACATATAAAAATTAATAGGTTTAGAGTGATGCACAAAGTTTTTTTCTGTATAATTGTAGCAACAATGGAGTTGTCAGAAAAATTCGTCCATGGGGGGGGGGGCATTAAATGGATGACCTAAAATAGTAACCCCACTGTTGTTTATATTAAATAGGATTATCATAATACCAGTTATTATATTAATTCTAGTATCTACATGCAACTACTCAAAGATTCACAGTACCAAATAAAAATTACTTACCGTTTTGATGTTTTAGCGTATTTAAAATGTGTATAAATGCCATCACACGAAGCGAAGCGTTCTCGAATTTTCGAATACACGCAAGAAGGAAAAGGTCTTCGTTTCCCTTTCCCCAAGATTTGAAAAACCCAGCGAGAACATCGACGATACGCCACTAGTCTATACAGTTTGTGCATTTTTTCCAAATCTCCATCATCGAGAGGCCAGTTTTCTTCAAGATATTGGCAAACATCTATCTTCAGAACACTTTCTGATAGCATATTTTCAATAAATTCCGGATGTCGCGTCAAACATTTTTCACCTTGTGCCTCTGTTTGATCAAGAAGTACTTCATACTCATCGTACTCCAGCGCTTTCTCTTGACAACAGAAACATTCAACAGCTTTTGTTGACTTAGTGCAATGTCCACATTTACACCAACTAATGTCTTGAAGGCGCCAAGCATTTGCTCTTTCAAACTCGTGATCGGCATATTCGTCAGACGAAGCTTCATCGCTACTTTGTTCGGCATCACTATCATCGCTAATATCGCTTGTTTCTGCAGGAGGTTCTGGCTCAAATTGGTAGGGTAACACTTCTCCTCTCTGGTTTTCGTGAATATTTTCCATTACTATCATAAAAAACTATAATTTCCTTGTAGAAACACAACAAATCTCGATAAACACAATACTAAATATATAGTGTTGTCTTGCTGCAACCAATCTAATGACGTCACATCCGCCAGAGATAATTTTTTTGAAAAACGATTCAAAATGGCCGACAAGTTCTTGATTTTGGATGAAGTGAGATGCTCATTACTCATGAACTAACGATTTTGGCAACGAATTAACATTACATCCATTATTAGATGATGTAACACTTTCAAAATATGCAATAAAAATTTTCGTTGCCAATGTCCTTTAAAGATTGCTGTTAGTGATGGTGCTATTACTTCAGCCGCGTCTCTTAGAAGTTTACTGGGTATTCTATCATGCCCTGCTGATTTGGATGTTTTAATTGTAGAGAGCAACTTATATACCTTAGTTAATGAAACATTTTGTATCGTAAATTGTGTATCGAGCCTAGTCACGTACTGTATGACTCAGGCGTCCTTGAGCTCTGTGGCATGCAACCAAGCGGGATGCAACTTCGTTGAAATGTGTATTTAAAGCATCTGCAATTTCATGTTTTTTAGTCAAATTTTGATTATCGTTCCGGATTTCAGATATAAGAGTTGTTTTTGACTGTTTGTTTGTAAGTTTATTGATTGTTTTCCACATTTTCTTTGGGTTGTTATCACAGTCATTTAGAGTATTTGTAAAGTAAATTGCTTTTGCATTCTTAATTAATCTATTCAAATAATTTCGTGTGCGTTTATAACCATCATGGAATTGTGTTGATCATGTCCTAACTGCTTTTTTCTTTAAAAAGTCTCTTCGACGCATAGTTTAATATTTTCTGTAATCCATGGCGCGTACTCGCTTCTAACTTTTTTTGTTCTTTCTGGTGCATGAAAATCTGCAACCGACAAAAATATTGTTTTCTAATTTTCCCACATAATATTTGGATCAAGCATTGTATCACAGAATATTTGATCATATAAGTATGTGGAAAGGTCTGATTTAAAGTCGTTTGAGTTATGTTTGAAATTTCTTGATTTGATCACTTTTGGCTCAATACGGGGAACGGAAATTTTTCTCTGTATATAGATTAAGCTGTGATCACTTATCCCCAGATGAATGACACCCAAGCCATTTATCAATTCCGGTTTATTTGTGAATTCTAGATCTTTAAGGTTTTACTATTAGCTGTAATTCGCGTTGGTTCACTAATTAATTGTTGAAATTGAAATGTCTGTGCAATTCCAGCAAGCTTGTTTGTCTGAGCGTTAGCGCTGTTACTATCCAAGCGAGACCAATCGCAGTTCTAATCTTCAAGTAAAATGATTTCCTTGTTTTCAGAGTCCATTCGGGTAATTAAATCCTCGAATGCTTTGAATATTTCAAGTGTTGTATTGAGTATTGGGTGGTTTATACCAACTTTTAATTAAAAATAGTTTGGCTTTTGGTTTTGAAATTTCAAGTGTGTTGTTCCGAGATTATCGTCAGTTAAATCGTATCTTATTATGAAGTATATTGAGGTTCTTATGAATATTGCGACCCTACCACCATGCCTATTCCTGTCTTTTCTCACAACATCATAACCATTAATGTTTATCTCTTGATTTGAAACAGACGCTAATTATTTCAAATTGTTGTTTATAAAGATACGGCCTTAGTTCATCGATATGCTTGATTAAACTTCTTACATTTAAAGTGCTTATGAAACGAAATTTTCGGTTCGTTTTTTTTTGTCATTCTCTAAAAGCCCATGTTTTCCTGATCATTTTGGCATATTATTTGCCAAAATTGAAGAATGAGAACACAACGAATTATGCTGTCAAAGTTGGCTTATACGTGCGAATTTTTCACCATCCAAATTATATTTGGGTGACGTCATACAAAGGACAGAAGTAGCGTTGCAACCAAAATTTTCTGCTTGTGGTGATACATAATTCAGTGTCTTGTAGTATTAATCATGAATAAAGATGAGTTCATCGGGTTGTGAAAGCGAACCTAGTCTTGACAGCAAGAGTTCCTCTTCGTCAAATGAGAGTATACACTTAGAATCCGGAGACGAGGAAGTAGGAGTTGTGAATTCGGTTATAAATCCGTACGGGAATGAGCCATCAGCGAACCCAGCTGATGACGGGAATTCAAGCAATGATGGCGAAGAGGACGAAGACGGCATTAATCCTAGGACACTAGAAGCGAGACTCGAGGGGGAAATTACATTAGATCATTGGTAAGTTTATCAGAAGAACAATAAAATAATGTTCTTTAATAATATCGACATTTGTCGACAATATTGTGCTGACTAATAGGTGCACATGAAGCTTGTGTCAAAAGGAGCTACTTGTCGACGCTATCGAGTATCGATGTTATAGGGAGGTCGGACCTACTCTACATCAACTGGTGTTCGATGCTAGCATCGAAAGAATAAGCTGCGTGACTCTGCATGAAGATTATATTGCTATGACTCACCCAACAGTCCCACTTTTAAAAGACAGCAGGTCGTACAAGCGCCGCACTGGACAACACGAAAACGAGAAAGTGCTTAGAACTAAGTCTAGTCATCATATTTATATAATTTATTAAAAGCATTCCTTTGCAATACGCACTCGATATCGAAACACTGAGGGCCACAGGTTTTTCAGCCTTCGGCTGTAATGTGTTTTACCCTCGTTAAATATAAGCTGCTACTACTACTACTACTACACTATTCTTTAATGTGAACAAGTTAGAAGCTTATATTATTATGCATATTTTACTACTGTACAGTATATATTTGCTGAATGTGTTTTAGAAGTACCGTAAACCTCCGACTATAAGCCCTGGGCTTATATTGTTCCGCAACCGATTTTTGATGGGCTTATACAAGGGGGGGGGCCTTATATACGGGGGGGGTTATACATGGACGATCTTTTGGGTTAGTGTAATAGTGATAAACAAGTATAGTAACAGTGATAAACAAGTGTTAAGCATAGTAATAATAGTGATTAATAGTAGTAATAGTGATAAACAATAGTGATAAACAAGTGGGCTTATATTCGGGGGGGGCTTATACACGGGGGGCTTATATTCTGGGGGGGAGCTAATATTCGGAGGTTTACGCTATTTACCTATTAAATCCATAACCAAAACTTTCCATACAATATCGTTCGAGATAGCTTGGTATATGTAACTTCAATTCTACGTGTCTCAAAAGTATATTTTTACACTAGGTACATGAGAGCAGTTGCATATCGATGGATTATTCGATGGATGTGTGGATGTCTAGGTTGGCAAAACTCTAGGCCTTTACCAGCATGTATATATATACCGATATCAGAAAACGATTTCCATTGGGGATACCATCAGAGTACACTGGCTACATATCTGCACAGAAAAGGAACTAGTCATGACACTATGGTAGACAATTGCTATGTTCAGATCTGACATCCACCAAAATGAACTAACCATCTGTTGATTGTCTACCATATATGCAGTTGGTGCATCAAAATAAAACACATTGTTATATCTTCTTGAGAATATTAAATACCTGCAAGGGATGCAAGTTAAATTAGCTTTTAAATATTGAGTAAAGACTTTTGTTGTTTTGCATATATGATATGCATATCAACTTAACTGTTTTAGATTGCAAAGTTTAACAGAACAATACAATTAACCTATTGTAAAATCTTGTAGTTAAAAATTTGTGTTAAAATTTTATCAAAAAGTTATATTCAAAGCATGCTTGAGTTCATTCAGTATTAATATGTGGACATCGATTTCTCGGGTGTCCTTTCATGGGTTGGCCATATTTTCTGCAACATCGGGGTTTTTTCTGTTGTGATGCAGCAGCTAAGGCAGCTTCCTGTTCCTGAACCAGTCTAGCATTGATTTGCATATTATATTGCTCTTCATCTGCAATTGTAAGATAATACCTTCTACTGGTATTATGTCAACAAAAATGTTCCATAATATTGGAAGTCAGAGGAGGAATGAGGGTCTTCCCACAATGCATTGCGTCTCATTATTATTTACAATTACGATTTTCAACGAACGTTTGGCGAAAAGTTGTTGAATTACATTGCGATTTTGGCTTCGTATATCTCGTTTTTTCGAAGGTATGTTTTTATATTTGTATTATTTAAGAACCTAATTAAACTATTTTTGACTTATTTGGTACAGGATTTACTTTTTAGTTATGGTAATTACGTATTGTAATTATGCTTGTTCCGGGTCAGTGGACACGCCAATAAAATGACCTTGATATAATGCACAAGCAAATTCACTTTTTTTAGGAAAATAAAAACAAGACACGTCATCGAATTCGGGAAGATTTATTCTTTCTACTGTTACTTGAAAACATGAATTTGCTCCACTAAACCGACGAGTAATCGCGGTTTGAAAATGGGGTACTTTTGCTATATTCTATCGCCGATGGCGGGAATAGACCGCCTGATAATCATCATGGCGCGAAGGAAATTATTATACTAATCACTATTTTTCATGATAATTTTGAAACATACGCATATATGTTCGTACATATTTTAAGTTTAGTGCAATTTTTAAGGTTAGATATGTTTATGTTTACCTGCACTGACTGTATTTTTTCATTTTATTATAGAATTCGGCTATTTTGGAGTAAAACTGGAAATGATACTGCTTCTGAAGGTGATACCACAGGGAAATCTAATAATAAAAGATGCAGGATTTCGAGTTTGAAAAATTCAACATCAGCCGAACTTTGTTTCAGAATCCTGGAACATCACCAAAACCAAGGTGTAAAAGTACAAAGGTTTTTACAAACATAAAATACAGTATGACTACACTAAAACATTATACAAAAGTTATTATCAAAGTAATGCATGAGTCAATTCCAGGAGTAACCATCCCCCCCAGGAACACACCCGGACATTTGATTTGATTGGTTACGATAGTGTAAATGCCCGGGTGCCGGGACACAACTTGAAGACTAATGCACGGCCCTTGGGCAAGCTGAGAGTGGAAAATGCCCCACCCCGGGGATGATTTTAAATGTTAATTAAACTTTTAATGGCATATAATAGCATAGTCATTTAATAACATTATAGTATTAAACTGCTATGGAATATTATAAAACTTTAATCATAAACTTGAATCTTGCTAAGAGTGGTTAAAAGTATTTAAACAATGAAATCATAAACCTTCAATAGTTTTACTTAAATTTGCATGGCACAGGTTATAATTTTCGCTTATTCTGACAATAAATTTCACGCCACCTTGACCACGAGGGTGCAAAATACGATCAGCGTGCCCACATGCGTGCCTGAAACTAGGTTTTGCCGCCTTAAAATTTGCGAGTGGGATTCTGGGCAACCATTTGTCAAATCCCCAGGGTCCTTAGCGACTATAACAATACCTGGCCCCCGTGCACGTACATGAAAGGCAAATTCCCGAGGGGGGGATGGTTTCTCCAGGAATTGACTCGTGCATAACAGTAACATACATTTAATGCTTTTTTGCCTGGGAGATTTCTGTCCAAAGGCATACGAGGCTGGGGGTTGCAACCCCTCCAGTCAGTGTTTAGTTGGGCAGAATTCTGCTTTAACAAATTATTGGGCAATTGTTTTAAGATTGACTTTAAACAGTAGCCTATTTCTGCAAGCCTTTATAGGAGATGTATTCCTTCTATTTTATACCTCTTGTTCATCTATAAATAAACTCATGACAATGTTGGGCAATTTCTATCCACCTGTATGCCAATATTATTTTTCAATGCTGGGAATGGCATTCCAAAAAACCCATAGTACACAAATTTCCCGCAGAAGCATGCCCACAATCCTGGGCTAAAAATCCATGAGTTTCTTTGTTGTTGTCTAATTGTGCTGGAACTTACATTGCCCCTCTCACTTTTGCTCTTTGTTTTGCAGTTTCCTATCAGAAAGATTAAACCGACTCCTCCAAAGAAATCCCCAATAAAACTTCATAAATGGACATTTGAGGAAGATAAAGCATTCATTGAATTCATATCTGTTGCAGAAAATCATGCAAATGATTACGATTGAAGAGGTTTACCAATTATGTAATACCTCTAGATTGTTTTAATTAATACATCATTAAGCTAGAGCAAAAGCATCACCTTTCATATACTTCATCATATCGCATCCATGTTTACTGGTGAAATGAATGTGTGCAACATTTTGTCTTTAAGTACAGTTAGTAATATTATGTTAATATTTTTTCGATATTTGCTGTGTTGGTGTAATGCACTCAGGTGAATAAGACGCTTGTGATGTTACTCTGAGTGTATATCCACACCGGGCAAGCTTGAAAAATATGCCTGGCCACGGTTGGAATCGAACCTACGACCTTTGGAATACTAACCCATTTTTTCGATTTTAAAATAAATAAATTTTATCAACATCAATTATGTAGTGTGTGATCTTTTTATTAATTTGTGATGAGCAAGGGAAGACTATACACCGAAAATCATGAAAACCATACATACCATAAACCTCCGAATATAAGCCCCCCCCCC